CTTTCCTTTCAAAAGTTGCTTTCCCCACCTTACTACCAAGAGGTACATAAGGTAAAGACCCAAGGTTCAGAGGGAGAATTTCTGAGGTAAGGGAAAAGTCTGAAGGTTAGGATCCAAAAGATAGTGGGTAACACCCCCCCCCCCCTTTTTTAAAACTCTATTCAAACCAAAAGATTTATATAAAAGTCTTCCCTTCAACCGCCCGTACTCTTGAAAGATTAAATAAAGTACTAGGGTCTAGACTACCATTTGATAGATATATATATAAAAAAATATAAAGATGTTTAGGACGCTTACCACGCAAACGAGACGGAGAAGGGAAATTTACGGGTGTTACAATCCTCCTCACCTAGGATTAAATTTCGTTCTCGAAATTTCTCTTTTGATTAAGCGAATAGATGAGGGCAACGCCTCTTCAAGTCCTCTTCTGCTTCCCAAGTTATGTTTGACCCTCGGTTATGCTTCCATTGAACTTTAACCATGATAATCTCCTTGTGCCTCAATACTTTGGTTTTTCTCTCCAAGATGGCTTCCGGTTCTTCAATACACCGATTGTCCTTATCCACATGAATTTCCGAAAGTGGTATTACACTTTCTTCTTCGGCCAAACACTTCCGTAGATAACACACATGAAATGTGTTATGGATTCCGACCATCTCAGGTGGTAATTCTAATATGTAAGCTTGGAGTCCTACCCTAGCCAGGACTTTAAACGGTCCAAGAAATCGGGGGCTTAGCTTCCCGTGCTTTCCGAAACGGATAATGCCTTTCCAAGGGGACACCTTTAGCATTACACGGTCGCCCACTTGGAATTCTATAGGTCGGCTCCTCTTGTCTGCGTAACTCTTTTGTCGATCTTGAGCCGCCTTTAAGCGTTCCCGAATACATTTCACCTTATCGGCCGTTTCCTGAACAATTCGGGACCAGCAAACTGTTTCTCACCCGCTTCTAGCCAACACACTGGACTTCTACATTTTCGTTCGTACAACGCCTCGAAAGGTGCCATTCCTATGCTGGAATGATAATTATTGTTATAGGCGAACTCCACCAGGGGTAGGTGAGAATCCCAATTTCTGCCAAAATCGATAACACATGATCTAAGCATGTCTTCAAGGGTTTGAATGGTTCGCTCGCTTTGACCATCGGTTTGAGGATGGTAAGCTGTACTCAACTTCACCCTCGTTCCCAACTCTTTCTGTAAGCCGCTCCAGAAATGGGATGTGAATCGGCTATCCCGATCCAATACTATTGACAACGGTATACCGTGTCTTGAGACTACTTCATCGATGTATAACATGGCAAGCTTCTCCATGGGCAATGTTTCACGCATTGCTAAGAAGTGAGCGCTCTTTGTCAGCCGATCAACCACTACCCAAATCGTATCGTGGTTTCTTAAGGTCTTTGGCAGTTTGGTCACAAAGTCTATCGTAATATGTTCCCACTTCCATTCGGGAATCTCCAAGGATTGGAGGCTACCATAAGGTTGCTGGTGCTCTGCTTTCACTTGCAAACATGTCACGCACCTCTCTACATAACGAGCCACATCCAGCTTCATAACAGGCCACCAATATGTCAATTTCAAATCTCGGTACATCTTGGTGCTACCCGGGTGAATGGAGTATTTAGACTTGTG